AAGATGCATTTAGGCACGAAGCTGGCCCTATCACCTAGCCTACACAGTACACTTTTGTATGCCTAGCTTGTTTAGGCTAGTAGAACTCCGAAGCTTAACCTTGACGTCAAGTCATATTTTATGCTTTTTACAACACTGAATTTAATATAATACTATTTTGAAACCAATGTACGTACCGTTGAAAGCGTTTGGCCTCAAATCTAGTAATACAAGTGCTAATACTTTTTTCAATTTCTTTTTCTTTTTCAATCCATTTAAATATAGATTTTAAAATATAGCATGTTGAATTAACACAAAATAAAACTAATGAAAGACTAAGTAACAACAATTGATAATTAAGTACCCATGAAGTTATTGTTTCATAATGTATTTCTAATCATTATTTGGAAAATGCATACATGTTGAAAATTATTTGTCAAAAGTGTGTAAAATGCCTAGGTGCATGGTAACCTAAAGTTCATTTAGACTTTCCATCAGCATAAATTTTTTTGTTATATTTGACAAATTTTTTTTAAGCTTTAGTATAAATCTTTTATTGGGACAACAAATAAATTTAACCAATATTCTAGGCATGAAGCAAGGCCTTGCCGCCTAGCCCGTTTAGGCTCATAATAACTTGAAGCTTAGGTTTGACGTCTAGCTACACTTAAAGATTCTTATAACAATGAAATGTATAAAATAAGTTTAGGAGATCTTGATACATACCAAAGAGAAGAAGTAATAGCTACTTTTAATTTTGAAAATTAAGAATAAGTTATTGTAACATGATGTACGTCTAATAATTATTTGGAAAATACTATACATACGGAAGTATATTTGTCAAAAGAGTGTAAAATGTCTAGATGGTTACTTGAAGCTCATTTAGATTTTTCTAGCAGCATAAATATTGTTGCAATGTATGACCATCTTAAATTTATAATTTTCAAAACTAAAATTTCATATCCTATGCCCTCAAACTAACAAATTTAAAAAAAAAATCACTACATCCAATTAATAATAAAAAGATTATAAAATACTGAGTCAACATTATAATGTGGCTAGCCACTAGCAACATCCATCTCATAAAAATGTTGATCGGGTATGTTGTTACGATGTATTTCTAATACTTATTGGAAAATGCTATGGATGCTGGAACACATTTTTCAAAATTCACAATCGAGGTTTTAGGGATTAGTATGCACATAACTTTTAGTGAAGCTATGTAAAAGGACATACTCCATGGCCATCAACACGCAGATCACTATTGCATGTGAGAGATGTTTTATGATGTGAAGGGACAACAATTCTTGTCAATATTCAAAATTTTTGGAATACTTTATCTTGTGAAGTGAGAGATATATATGTGAACAACGCTTTAAACTTGCCTGCAAAATTATTTCCTCCGAGATAGAGAACTTGAAGCTTTGACAACTTCCCGATTTCCATTGGAATGCTTCCTGCAAAATTATTGTATGACAGAGAAAGTAGTTTAAGATTCATGCAAGCTCCCAAGCTTGGAGGAATGTTGCCACTCAATTAATTCACTGAAATCCTTAGCCTCTCTAGCTTTGGAAGATTGAAGCAAATATCCATAGGTAGACTTCTTGAGAGACTATTGTTTCCAAAACTATTTTTAATTAAAGAAGTGTTGTTGAAAATCTTGTTAGGAATATTTCCGGAGAGTCCATTATGGGAGATATTTAACGTCAATAGATTTTCAAGAAATTCAAAAGTTGGTGGAATATAACCAGTTAGCTCATTGTGCTGCATCTCTATTTCTTGAAGCTGGCTGAGCTTACCAATTTCATTAGAGATAAACCCATGAAAATTATTATTGCTAATAATTAAGGATCTCAAAAAAGAGAGTTCACCAATTTCTTTAGCAATAGTACCTCCTAGACCCATATCTACTAGATTCAATCCCCTAACTCTTTGATGTCTCCTGCCACAAGTAATGCCAATCCAAATTGCAGAACGAGGTTCCTTGTGACCAATTTTTTGCCAAAATTTTATTTGGATTGGAAGTAATTTGAGATTTGAAAGCTAGAAGAGCATATTCATCAGTGGAGCTATTTAGAGATGTAGCAATGTTGATAAGCAAGTAGACCATTGCCAACGACATAAAGATGACATTCCTTCCCATGGCTAATTTGAAATGCAAAAAGATAATTGGGAGGGGGTTGGTAATGATGGGTTTGATGTAAGTGTTAGAGTGTGTGTGTGTGTGTGTGTGTATGTGTGTACGGATATATATAAAAAAATTAAAGCTTAAGCAAGAAGGTGTACAAGTTAATTTATGGTTAACCTGTTGGTAGAGGTTTTATCTTGAGGGAGTGTTGCTCATCACCCCATGATGAACTTCATTTTTTCCAAAAATAAAATAAAATATGCTTGACTATGAAACTGGAAAAAGTATTCCATTGGATGTTGAGAATTTTCCTGATCTTTTATTGTGGAAATTGTGGATGTTTTTCCACAAATGAAGGTTTCATTCTTCTAATAATCCAAAAGAAATAATTAATTTTTGGAGATTTCATTGTCCACCAATGCTCCCCCACTTTCTTGTAGAATGCAGAGATTTTCTTATGGAAAAAAATAAAATAAAATCTTAAAGTGTGCTTAACTTAAAAGTTTAAATCTTAGACAGCTTTATGAAATATGCATGGCCTGAATTTCTCTTTTTTGATGATTTTTTTATTTTTTAATTAATCTTTTGATATCCAGAAGTAAGGTTTTTTTTTTTCGTTATTATGAACACTTAACTAAAAGAATAATGCTGCTCCTCTCGAGATAAAATCCTGAGTTTGGAGCTGGGGGCCGAGGTCCCCCCGATCGTGATGGCGGGCTCCCCAAGTGCAGGTGATCAACGGTCGAGGTGTTTCCACCTCGGCCCTGGATCGGAGCCCGGGATTAAATCCCGGGCTCTGTAGCACGGTTCTAACTAAAATTATTTAGCTTGATGCTTATAAATTCATTATTAGAAGTGCTTAATATATCTTTTAATATATTTTATGACTTTTGGTCTGTACTAGTCAAAGTTGAATGTGCGTTGCACGTTATACTGAAATACATTAAATGTGCTGTAAAAGTAATATTTCACCCCAATTTGTTGGGAGGATTTGATGAGTCTCAACCTAACCAAAGAAAATAAAATTTAAAATATAAATTTAAGTGAAGAAAATTGTACTCTCAAAACTCAACTTCTGTTATTTAATTTTTTTTGAAATGATGAAGTACTACAAACGAGCAACCTTTTTATACTACATTTGGTATATAAAAATTAATTATTAATAATGAATTTAAAATCCTATTAAAATTTCAAGTTACATGAAATAAATTTAACTATAATAACTCTAAATTTATGTAGGTCAACATTCATCAAGTCAAGATTCATTGAGTCCAGATTAGTGTGAATGTTAATTTATTGAGAACTAAAAGCACGAAATTCATGCATGATAAGGATTTTGTAGTATTTATTAGATATTGTTAAACGAAAAGTAAGATATTATTGAAATAAATGAATTGTAATAGATTAATAACGTCCAAAGAATGTTTCTGACTCAATGTGGTAATTTATGGTTAATGTGTTGATTGGGGTTTTATCTCAAGGGAGTGGTGCTCATCACACCATTATGAATTTCACTTTTTTCCAAAAATAAAACAAACTTTGCTTGAATATGAAACTGGAAAAATTATTCCATTGGATGTTGTCATTTTTCGTTATCTTTTATTGTGGAAATTGTGGAAGTTTTTCCACAAATGAAGGTTTCATTCTTCTAATAATCCAAAAGAAATAATTAGCTTTTGGAGACTTCAATGCACACCAATACTCCCCCATTTTCTAGTAGAATGCAGAGATTTTCTTAAGAATGAAAAATGCTTAAAGCGTGCATAACTTACAATTTTAAATCTTAGACAGTCTTTTGAAATATGCATGGCCTGAATTTCTGTTTTGAAAAGATTTTTTTTTTATTTTTATTGTTTTTTTGATATCCAAAAAGATCTTATGAAAGACAAGATGTACCAACTAATTTGAAGTTGAGTATTAGGTAACTATAAGTTATTTTTGTATGATATATTTTTACTAATTATTTGAAAAATGCCATAAATGCTGAAAAACATGTCAAAAGAGTATAAAGTGACTACGTGGTAGCATAAGGCTCATTTAGATTTTCCATCAGCATATATATCTTTGTTAAAGGTTAGGTGACCATTTAAATTGAGAGTTTTCTTAACTAAATTGCATCCTAGGTACTAAAACATTATAATGAGGCTAGCCGCTAGTATTATCGATCTTCATCTCAAGAAAATTGGGTAATTTGGATTCGAAGTAATTATCCTGTAGTTTTAATAATTACATGAAAAATACCACATATTTTGAAAACAATTTGTCAAAAGAGTGTAAAATGCATAGGTGGAAACCTAAAGTTTCATCAAATGTTAAATTAACACAAAATAGATCTTAGGGAACAGGGGGAGTACCAACTAATTTGAAGTTGATGACTGAGTAACTATGAAGTTATTGTCGCATAATATATTTCTAATAATTATTTGAAAAATGTCAAACATGCTTAAAATTATTTGTCAAAAGATTGTAAAATGACTAAGAGATAGCCTAAAGTTCATCTTGATTCCCATCAGCATAAAAATATTTGTTAAAGGTGACCATTTTAAATTTAAAGTTTTAATAACTGATAATGCATTCTAGGTCGTCAATCTAAAAATCAAGAATAAAAAAACTAAATTCAATAAATACTGAAAAGTTTAGCAAGTATAAGCATGTTGGGTACTTAGGATTTGATGTGATCATGCTGTGTTTCGAAAGAATATTTGGAAAATACCACACCTTGAAATAATTTGCCAAAAGAGTGTCAAATGCATAGGTTGGAAACCCAAAGTTCGTTTAGATTTTCCACTAGAATAAAAATATTTGTTGTATACGAAAATTTTAAATTTAGAATCTTGGCATAAATCTTTGTCAAGATACTAAATAAACAAATTGAATAGATTTAATTAGTGTCTTAAAAAGAGCGTCTAAGCATGAAGCCGAGCCTTGCCACCAAACCACACTTTATGCTTTTATATACAAGCCCATTGAGGCTCGTAAAAGCTAAAAGGTTAGCCTTGACGTTTTGTCAAGCTTTACGAGTTTTACAACACTCAATATATTGCATAAGTTTAATAGATGTAGTTACATACCCCTCAAATTGTTGTAGAGCATTTCTAGATCTTCAATTGCTGATAGGTTTCCAATTTCATTTGGAATATTTCCTGTCAATCCATTTAGACATACAGATTTTAAAATATCAAATGTTAAATTAACACAAAATAGATCTAATGAAAGAGAAGAAGTACCTACTAGTTTGAATTCGATAATTAAGTAGCCATGGAGTTACTGTTGCTGCATGATGTATTTCTAATAAATGTTTGGAAGATGGCATAATTTTGAAAAACTTTTGTGAAAAACAGCGCAAAATGCCTAGGTGGTTACCTGAAGTTCATTTTGATTTTCCACTGGCAAAAAAATATTTTTTGGGTAAGAAAATTTTAGATTTAGAATTTGATATAAATCTTTATCATGAAACTAAATAAACAAATTGAAATAGATTTAATAAGTGTGCTAAAGGTGCATTTAGGCACGAAGCTTGCCCTATCACCTAGCCTACACAGTACACTTTTGTATGCCTAGCTCATTTAGGCTAGTAGAACTCCGAAGCTTAACCTTGGCGTCAAGTCATATTTTACGCATTTTACAACATTGAATATAATATAAAACTATTTCAAAGACCTACGTACATACCATTGAAACCATTGGGCCTCAAATCTTGTAATACAAGCGCTGATACTTTTTCAATTTCTTTTTCTTTTTCAATCCATTTAAATATGTAGATTTTAAAATATAGCATGTTGAATTAACACAAAATACAACTAATGAAAGACGAAGTACCAACAATTGATAATTAAGTACCCATGAAGTTGTTGTTTCATAATGTATTTCTAATCATTATTTGGAAAATGAAAACATGTTGAAAATTATTTGTTAAAAGTGCGTAAAATGCCTAGGTGCATGGCAACCTAAAGATCATTTAGATTTTCCATCAGCATAAATTTTTTTGTTATATTCGACAATTTTTTTTAAGCTTTAGTATAAATTTTTTATTAGGACAAAAAATAAATTTAACCAATATTCTAGGCAAGAAGCAAGGCCTTGCCGCCTAGCCCATTTAGGCTCATAATAACTTGAAGCTTAGCTTTGACATCTAGCTACACTTAATGATTCTCATAACATTGAAATGTATAAAATAAGTTTAGGAGATCTTGATACATACCACTGAAACAGTTGTGTTACAAATCTAAATATACAAGTGCTGATAGGTTTCCAATTTCATTTGGTATATTTACTATCAATCCACTTAAAAAATGTGTGGATTTTAAAATATCGAATGCTAAGTTAACACAAAATAGATCTAATGAAAGAGAAGAGGTACCAACTACTTTTAATTTTAAAAATTAAGAGCAAGTTATTGTTACATGATGTATGTCTAATAATTATTTGGAAAATGATACACATACGATGTATATTTGTCAAAAGAGTGTAAAATGTCTAGATGGTCACTTAAAGCTCATTTAGATTTTCTAGCAGCATAAATATAGTTGCAATATATGACCATTTTAAATTTAGTGTTTTCATAACTAAAATTTCATATCATATGCCCTGAAACTAACAAATTAAAAAAAAATCACTACATCCGATTAATAATGAAAAATTATAAAATACTGACTAATTATTATAATGTGGCTAGCTACTGGCTGTATCCATCTCATAAAAAAGCTGATTGGGTATGTTGGATTTGATGTTATTACGATGTATTTCTAATACTTATTGGAAAATGCTATGGATGCTGGAACACATTTTTCAAAATGCACAATCGAGGTTTTAGGGATTATTATGCACATAACTTTTAGTGAAGCTATGTAAAAGGACATACTCCATGGCCATCAACACGCAGACAACAATTCTTGTCATTTGTCAAAATTTTTGAAATACTTTATCTAGTGAAGTGGGAGATATGTATGTGAACAACGCTTTAAACTTGCCTGCCAAATTATTTTCTTCGAGATAGAGAACTTGAAGCTTTGACAACTTCCCGATTTCCATTGGAATGCTTCCTGCAAAATTATTTTATGACAGAGAAAGGAATTTAAGATTCATGCAAGCTCGCAAGCTTGGAGGAATGTTACCGCTCAATTGATTCACTGAAATCCTTAGCCTCTCTAGCTTTGGAAGATTGAAGCAAATATCTATAGGTAGACTTCCTGAGAGACTATTGTTTCCAAAACTAATTTCAATCAAAGAAGTGTGGTTGAAAATCTTGTTAGGAATATTTCCGGTGAGTCCGTTATGGGAGATATTTAACGTCAATAGATTTTCAAGAAATTCAAAAGTTGGTGGAATAGAACCAGTTAGCTCATTGTGCTGCATCTCTATTTCTTGAAGCTGGCTAGCTTACCAATTTCATTAGGGATGAGCCCATGAAAATTATTATGGCTAATAATTAAGGATCTCAAAAAAGAGAGTTCACAATTTCTTTAGCAATAGTACCTCCTAGACCCATATCTGCTAGATTCAATCCCCTAACTCTTTGATGTCTTCTGCCACAAGTAATGCCAATCCAATTGCAGAATGAGGTTCGTTGTGACCAATTTTTTGTCAAAATTTTATTTGGATCGGAAGTAATTTGAGATTTGAAAGCTAGAAGAGCATATTCATCAGTAAAGCTATTTGGAGATGTTGCATTGTTGATAAGCAAGTAGACCATTGCCAACGACATAAAGATGACATTCTTTCCCATGGCTAATTTGAAATGCAAAAAGATAATTGGGAGGGGGTTGGTAATGACGAGTTTGATGAAAGTGTAAGAGAGAGAGAGAGAGAGAGAGAGAGAGAGAGAGAGTGTGTGTGTGTGTGTGTGGCTATGTATAAAAAAAATTAAAGCTTAAGCAAGATAAGTGTACAAGTTAATTTATGGTTAACGTGTTGGTTAAGGTTTTATCTCAAGGGAGTGGTGCTCATCACCCCATGATGAACTTCATTTTTTCCAAAAATAAAATAAACTATGCTTGATTATGAAACTGGAAAAAGTATTCCATTGGATGTTGAGAATTTTCCTTATCTTTTATTGTGGAAATTGTGGAAGCTTTTCCACAAATGAAGGTTTCACTCTTCTAATAATTCAAAAGAAATAATTAATTTTTGGAGATTTCATTGTACACCAATACTCCCCCACTTTCTTATAGTGCAAAGATTTTCTAAAGGAAAAAAAAAATCTTAAAGTGTGCATAACTTAAAAGTTCAAATCTCAGAAAGTTTTATGAAATACGCATGGCCTGAATTTCCCTTTTTAGAAGATTTTTTTATTTTTTAATTAATCTTTTGATATCCAGAAGTATGGTTTTTTTCGTTATTAAGAACACTTAACTAAAATTATTTAGCTCGATGCTTATAAATTCATTATTAGAAGTGCTTAATTTATCTTATAGTATATTTTATGACTTTTGGTCTATACTAGTCAAAGTTGAACGTGCATTGCACGTTATACTGAAATAATTTACAAGTGCTGTAAAAGTAATATTTGACCCCAATTTGTTGGGAGGATTTGATGAGTCTCAACCTAACCAAAGAAAATAAAATTTAAGATATAAATTTAGGAGAATAAAATTGTACACTCAAAACTCAACTTCTGTGATTAAATTTTTTTGAAATGATGAAGTATTACAAACGAGCAAACATTTTATACTACATTTGGTACATGAAAATTAATTATTAATAATGAATTTAAAATCCTATTAAAACTTCAAGATACATGAAATAAATTTATCTATAATAACTCTAGATTTATGTATGTCAAGATTCATCAAGTCAAACTTCATTGAGTCTAGATTAGTGTGAATTTTAAGTTATTGAGAATTAATAGCACAAAATTCATACATGATAAGGATTTTGTAGTATTTATTAGATATTTTTTATGTCTAAAAGTGTAATTGGCAATTCTGTGGACGAAAGGACTAAATTGTAAATTTGTAAAAGTCAGGGACTCAATTGTACAATGCTATAAAAGTCAGTGACTTAAGGTGCAATTTAGTAAAGTTAGATAGTAGGGACTAGGGTTTGAGTGTTAGGTCAAAATGGAGGACAAGACATCGAAAGTTCGGTAGCTGCTCGCCTGACCATCGCTCGAGCGAGAAAAGCAGAATGCTTGTCGCTCGCTCTTTGCCCAGACTTCGCTCGAGCGAAGTCACGCCGCTCGCTCACCGCTCAATTGTCACTCGAACGATAGTGTTACCCTACCAGTTCTAAGGTCGCATTTTGGAGAGTTTTAAACGGTCCAAGACACTTAATTACCCCCAAGTATAAATAGAACATGTCTTGGACGTGAAAAGGAGATCGCCACATTGTGCTAAACATTGATATCATTCTTCTATTATTCTCTCAAGTGATCCAAGGCAGGACTGAACAAGGAATTCATCCATAAACACCTTGTGATCCGGGCAATCTATTGTTGGGGAAAACATCAAAGTTTGTGAAGACAAAACACCTGGACTTCTTTATCTGTTGAGGAAGAGACTCTCTCATTAGAGGATTAAGAGAGGTGGATGACAAGCACAGGAACTGGACAAGAACAGGAGGTTTTTGGAATTCCACTTGGTGATACAAGTAGCTAAAGACCATGAAGATGTATTGGACAGTAGATTGGGTTGCAGGAGGTAGATCAGAAAGCTAGCAGGAGACTAGTAGCATCTACGACAGTAGACCGTGAGATTGGAACAGTAGGTCCTGACTAGGTATGAAGTTTGGCAGAACTTGTACTGACTGATTTGGTATATTGGAACTTACTAGCATGGTCCCAGAGTTTTACACACGTTGGGTTTCTTCGTCATCATATTGTCTGTTGATTTAATTGCTTTCCATCTTATTATTGCGGCATTTAAACTTAGGGAAATTGGATTGTATGATTAATCACCTAGACAACCAATTAATCAGTGACTTGTTCCTATTAATTGTGTTAATTCCGCACGTAAGGTCGAATTGATTAATTGGAACATAAACTTGGTAAAGCTTAAAATTTGAATTTGACATAGCAACATGTTCCCGTGAACTTTCAAGTGGCTGTAGAGTGTTCCTAGATATTTTTCAAGTGGTATCAGAGCGTTCCCAGTAATTTTCAATATTGTTAAATGAAAAGTAAGATATTATTGAAATAAATGAATTGTAATAGATTAATAACGTCCAAAGAATGTTTCTGACTCGATGTGGTAATTTATGGTTAATGTGTTGATTGGGGTTTTATCTCAGGGGAGCGGCGCTCATCACACCATTATGAATGTCACTTTTTTCCAAAAATAAAACAAACTTTGCTTGACTATGAAACTGGAAAATTTATTCCATTGGATGTCATCATTTTTCCTTATCTTTCATTGTGGAAATTGTGGAAGTTTTTCCACAAATGAAGGTTTCATTCTTCTAATAATCCAAAAGAAATAATTAGCTTTTGGAGACTTCGTTGCCCACCAATACTCCCCTATTTTCTAGTAGAATGCAGAGATTTTCTTAAGAATGAAAAAAGCTTAAAGCGTGCATAACTTACAATTTTAAATCTTAGACAGTCTTTTGAAATATGCATGGCCTGAATTTCCGCTTTCAAAATATTTTTTTTTATTTTTTATTTTTTTATATCCAAAAAGATCTTATGAAAGACATGATGTACCAACTAATTTGAAGTTGAGTATTAGGTAACTATAAGTTATTTTTGTATGATATATTTTTACTAATTATTTGAAAAATGCCATAAATGCTGAAAAACATGTCAAAAGACTATAAAGTGACTATGTGGTAGCATAAGGCTCATTTAGATTTTCCATCAGCATATATATCTTTGTTAAAGGTTAGGTGACCATTTAAATAGAGAGTTTTCATAACTAAATTGCATCCTAGGCACTAAAACATTATAATGAAGCTAGCCGCTAGTATTATCGATCTTCATCTCAAGCAAATTGGGTAATTTGGATTCAAACTAATTATGCTGTAGTTTTAATAATTACATGAAAAATACCACATATTTTGAAAATAATTTGTCAAAAGAGTGTAAAATGCATAGGTGAAAACCTAAAGTTTCATCAAATGTTAAATTGACACAAAATAGATCTTAGGGAGTAGGGGGAGTACCAACTAATTTGAAGTTGATGACTGAGTAATTATGAAGTTATTGTCGCATAATATATTTCTAATAATTATTTGAAAAATGTCAAACATGCTTAAAATTATTTGTCAAAAGATTGTAAAATGACTAAGAGATAGCCTAAAGTTCATCTTGATTCCCATCAGCATAAAAATCTTTGTTAAAGGTGACCATTTTAAATTTAAAGTTTTCATAACTGATAATGATTTCTAGGTCATCAATCTAAGAAATTAAGAATAAAAAAACTAAATTCAATTAATACTGAAAAGTTTAGCAAGTATAAGCATGTTGGGTACTTAGGATTCGATGTGATCATGTTGTGTTTCTAAAGAATATTTGGAAGATACCACACATTTCGAAAAACATTTGCCAAAAGAATGTAAAATGCATAGGTGGAAACCCAATGTTCGTTTAGATTTTCCACCAGAATAAAAATCTGTCATATACAAAAATTTTAAATTTAGAATCTTGGTATAAATCTTTGTCAAGACACTAAATAAACAAATTGAATAGTTTTAGTTAGTGTTTTTAAAAGAGCGTCTAAGCATGAAGCCGAGCCTTGCCACCAAACCACACTTTACGATTTTATATACAAGCCCACTTAGGCTCGTAAAAGCTACAAGGTTAGCCTTGACGTTTTTTCAAGCTTTATGATTTTTAAAACACTCGATTTAATATATAGCATAAGTTTAAGAGATGTAGTTACATACCATTCAAATTGTTGGAGAGCAATTCTAGATCTTCAATTGCTGATAGGTTTCCAATTTCATTTGAAATATTTCCTGTCAATCCATTTAGACATACAGATTTTAAAATATCAAATGTTAAATTAACACAAAATAGATCTAATGAAAGAGAAGTACCTACTAGTTTGAATTCGATAATTAAGTACCCATTATTTCTAATAAATGTTTGGTAGATGGCATAATTTTGAAAAACTTTTGTGAAAAACAGTGTAAAATGCTTAGGTGGTTACCTGAAGTTCATTTTGATTTTCCACCGACAAAAAAATCTTTTTTGTATAAGAAAATTTTAAATTTAGAATTTGATATAAATCTTTGTCATGAAACTAAATAAAAAAATCGAAATAGATTTATTAAGTGTTCTAAAGGTGCAATTAGGCACGAAGCTTGCCCTATCACCTAGCCTACACAGTACACTTTTGTATGCCTAGCTCGTTTAGGCTAGTAGAACTCCTGAGCTTAACCTTGACGTCAAGTCATATTTTACACTTTTTACAACATTGAATTTAATATAATACTATTTCGAAGACCTATGTGCGTACCATTGAAACCGTTGGGCCTCAAATTTAGTAATACAAGTGCTGATATTTTTCAATTTTTTTTTTCTTTTTCAATCCATTTAAATATGTAGATTTTAAAATATAGCATGTTGAATTAACACAAAATACAACAAATGAAAGATGAAGTACCAAAAATTGATAATTAAGTACCCATGAAGTTATTGTTTCATAATGTATTTCTAATCATTATTTGGAAAATGCATACATGTTGAAAATTATTTGTCAACAGTGCGTAAAATGCCTAGGTGCATGGTAACCTAAAGTTCATTTAGACTTTCCATCAGCATAAAATTTTTTGTTATGTTTGACAATTTTTTTAAGCTTTATTATAAATTTTTTATTAGGAAAACAAATAAGTTTAACCAATATTCTAGGCACGAAGCAAGGCCTTGCTGCCTAGCCCGTTTAGGCTCATAATAACTTGAAGCTTAGCTTTGACGTCTAGCTACACTTAATGATTCTTATAACATTGAAATGTATAAAATAAGTTTAGAAGATCTTAATACATACCATTGAAACCGTTGTGCTACAAATCTAAATATACAAGTGCTGATAGGTTTCCAAAATTTCATTTCGTATATTTACTGTCAATCCATTTACAAAACTTGTGGATTTTAAAATATCAAGTGCTAAGTTAACACAAATAGATCTAATGAAAGAGAAGAAGTACCAACTACTTTTAATTTTGAAAATTAGGAACAAGTTATTGTTACATGATGTATGTCTAATAATTATTTGGAAAATGCTATACATACGGAAATATATTTGTCAAAAGAGTTTAAAATGTCTAGATGGTCACTTAAAGCTCTTTTGGATTTTCTAGCAGCATGAATATTGTTTCAATCTATGACCATTTTAAATTTAGTACCTTCGTAACTAAAATTTCTTATCCTATTCCCTCAAACTAACAAATAAAAAAAATAAAAAAATCACTACATGCCATTAATAATGAAAGGATTATAAAACACTGACTAAACATTATAATGTGGCTAGCCACTAGCAGTATCCATCTCATAAAAAAGTTGATTGGGTATGTTGGACTTGATGTTATTACAATGTATTTCTAATACTTATTGGAAAATGCTATGGATATTGGAACACATCTTTCAAAATGCACAATTGAGGTTTTAGGGATTATTATGCACATAACTTTTAGTGAAGCTATGTAAAAGGACATACTCCATGGCCATCAACATGCATATCACTATGCATGTAAGAGATGTTTTATGATGTGAAGGGACAACAATTCTTGTCAATTGTCAAAATTTTTGTATTACTTTATCTAGTGAAGTGGAAGATATGTATGTGAACAGCCCTTTAAACTTACCTGCCAAATTATTTCCTCCGAGATAGAGAACTTGTAGCTTTGACAACTTCCCGATTTCCATTGGAATGCTTCCGGCAAAATTATTGTATGACAGAGAAAGTAGTTTTAGATTCATGCAAGCTCCCAAGCTTGGAGGAATGTTGCCGGTCAATTGATTCATTGAAATCCTTAGCCTCTCTAGCTTTGGATGATTGAAGCAAATATCCATAGGTAGACTTCCTGAGAGACTATTGTTTCCAAAACTAATTTCAATCAAAGAAGTGAGGTTGAAAATCCTGTTAGGAATATTTCCGGTGAGTCCATTATGGGAGATATTTAACGTCAATAGATTTTCAAGAAATTCAAAAGTTGGTGGAATAGAACCAGTTAGCTTATTGTGTTGCATCTCTTTTTCTTGAAGCTGGCTGAGCTTACCAATTTCATTAGGGATAAACCCATGAAAATTGTTATTGCTAATAATTAAGGATCTCAAAAAAGAGAGTTCACCAATTTCTTTAGCAATAGTACCTCCTAGACCCATATCTGCTAGATTCAATACCCTAACTCTTTGATGTCTTCTACCACAAGTAATGCCAATCCAATTGCAGAACGAGGTTCCTTGTGACCAATTTTTTGTCAAGATATTATTTGGATCAGAAGTTATTTGATCTTTGAAAGCTAGAAGAACATACTCATCAGTGGAGCTATTTAGAGATGTAACAATGTTGATAAGCAAGTAGACCATTGCCAGCAACATAAAGATGACATTCTTTCCCATGGCTAATTTGAAATGCATAAAGATAATTGGGATTGGGCTGGTAATGACGAGTTTGATTTGAGTGTAAGTGTGTGTGGATATATATATATATATATATACACATAATGAAAGCTTAGGCAAGATAAGTGTATAAGGTAGTAAGATAAGTGTACAAAGTAATTTATGGTTGACGTGTTGGTTTGGGTTTTATCTCAAGGGAGTGGAGCTCATCACACCATTACGATCTTCACTTTTTCCAAAAATAAAACAAACTATGTTTGACTATGAAACTGGAAAATTTATTTCATTGGATGTTGAGATTTTTTCTTATCTTTTATTGTGGAAATTGTGGAAGTCTTTTTCAAAAATGAAGGCTTCATTCTTCTAATAATCCAAAAGAAATATTTAGCTTTTGGAAACTTCATTATCCACCAATACTCCCCCATTTTCTAGTAGAATGTAGAGATTTTCTAAAAATAGCTTAAAGTGTGCATACTTTAAAGAGTAAGGCTATTTAGCCCTACTAGGGTTGCGACCCCGTTTAGGTGGCGCTATTATGGTATTAAATGATATGGGAAGTTAAATAAGTCATTTAATTTCACATTTCATTCAACTATCATCTAGTGTGACTTAAACTGGGGTTGACATCCTACTGGGGCTACATAGTATTATTGTAATTTAAGAGTGTAAATCTTAGACAATCATGAAATATGGTCCAAATTTCCATTCCAAAAAGATTATTTATTATTGATTTTTTTATATCCAAAAGAAAGGTTTTGTGGTTACTAAGAAAACTAAAAATCAATTATTTTGCTCGATGATCATAAATTCATTATTAGAAGTGCTTAATTTATCTTACAAGATATTTTACGACTTTTGGTTTATACTAGTCAAAGTTGAATGTGCATTGTACGTTATTCAGAAATATTTTATAAATATGTAAAAGTAATATTTGATACCAATTTATTGGGAGAATTTAATGAGTTGAAAATGAGCTAAAGAAAAAATTAGGATAGAAATTTTCCATCAATAACATATAATGCCCATGTGGTAACTTAAAGTGCATTTAAATTTTCCATCAATATAAATATCTTTGTTATATGTTTACCATTTTAGTTTCGAGTTCTCGTAAATGAAACTTGATCCTAGGTCCTGAAACTAACAAATTAAGCTCTTGTTTGAGCCACATTATATTCCTAAGAATGCTTTCTTGAATAGTGTATTGATAGAAAATGTGTGGTTAAAAAATAAAGAAAAGTTTTGAATTTGCGTATAATATTATTTTATTGAAAAATATGTGATTAAAATAATGTTAAACCACTGCTTAAGAATATATATATATATATATATATATATATA